GTCTCTACCATTTTTTTCCTTCCCTCGGGTGGTACCCACACAATAAAAACAAATCCTTTGAGCAGTTTATGCTAGTGAACTGGTTTGTTTCAACACCCTTATTTCATTCGTCTTTTAAAACAGCCTCGTGAGATAGGCCAGAGCTCATCCTCCCAACTTGACAGGTGTGGAACCAAAGCTGAGAGAGACCCATCTGCCATCCCACAGCTAGTCAATGGCAGCTGGAGCTGGATCCCCAGTCTTCTGATTCTCCCATCACTGAGCGTGGAATTTCAACCACTTGGGTCTTTTGACCCCAAACCATGCATTCTTGCTATTTTGTTTTGCTGAAATTCCCATTGCCTTGCTAAGATTATGGGGTGACGCCCTGAATTTATTATGGGGTTGGAGTATGGAGAACTGAAGGTAGGAAATGTCTCTTACTCAATGTACTTTAGTAAGGACTTGGTATTTCAGAGAGGAAATAAAAACTAAAGGTCAGATGTCTTTCATTAGATAACTGTTAATCTGTTGGATATGCTTAACACTTCATGCTTTGCAAAGGGCTTATGCATATGTATGTGTATGTTTTTTAAGTGCACACGCTATATTATCTATCACCCATTTAAAGTGTAAGTCAGTGTTTTCTAGTATATTCACAGGGTTGTGCAACCACTACCACAATTTAATTTTGGGACATTTTTATCGTCCCCAAAAGAAATCTCTTACCCATCAGCAACAACTTCCCATTCCCCATCCTCACCCCAGCCTTAGGCAACCACTAATCTACTTCTCTGTCTCTATAAATTTAGCAATTCTAGACATTTCTTATAAATGAAATCTAGCTTCCTTTTATTTAGCATAGTGACTTCAAGATTCATACATGTTGTAAACATGTATTCATACATTTTTACTGCTAAGTAATATTCCATTATGCAGATATGCCACATTTTATTTATATATTGATCAGTTTATAGGCATTTGGGTTGTTTTCACTTTGGGCTATTATGAATAATGCTATTGTAAACATTCGTATACAAGTTTTTGTGTGGACATATGTTTCTGTTTCTTCCTGGATATATACCTACAAGTAGGATTGCTGGGTCATATAATAACTCTCTGTTTAACTTTTTGAGGAACTGTTAAAATGTGTGTGTTTATAAATTTACTGAGATATATTTCCCATACCATGAAATCCACTCATTTAAAGTATAAAATTCAGTAAACCAGTATAGTCACAGGGTTGTGCAACTGTAACCACAGTCTTATTTTAGAATATTTTCATCACCCCAAAAAGAAACAATATACTCATTAGCAGTCACCATCTATTCCCACTCCCCCACCCCCCAGACAACCAGTAGTCTACTTTCTATCTTTATGGCTTTACCTATTCTAGACATTTCACGTAAATAAAATCATACAACCTGTAGTCTTTCATCACTGGCTGCTTTCGCTTAGCATAGAGTTTTGAAGATTCATCCATGCCGTAGCATGTATCAGTATTTTTTTCATTTCTATGGCTGAATAATATTCCATTGTATGGCTACATTGCACTTTGTTTAGTCTCTACTTCTGTCATTACGTGGCATTCTCCCCGTGCGTCTCTGTGCTTCTATTTTCTCTTCTTAAAAGGATACTAGTCTTAGGGCCCACCCTAATTCAGTGTGACCTCATCTTAACTCGTTTCACCTGTAAAGACCCTATTTTCAAATAAGGTCACATTCTGAGATTCCAGGTGGACATGAGTTTTTTTGTTGTTGTTGTTTTGTGGGGGGGGCGGGGGGAAGGTGAGGGGGAACACTATTCAACCCAGTACAGGCAACAAGGAATAATCATAAATTCAGGTAGAAATCTTTTAAAATTGCAAGCAGAAGTAGAATTTTGGCAAAGTGTAGTGCCAAAACAGCTTTGAAAGAACTTTCTGGGGCTACAAACCATTGTGGAGCCAACTGGTTTCGTAGACATGGCTTCGTGCTGGTCAAATGGAATTCCAAGTATCTGTGGGCCCAACTCATCCTAACTCCTCCTTCACCTTATTAACAGACCTTAAAACCTCTCTAATTTCGACAACAAGAAACAATCATATTGGGATTTTTGTGCCAGGGAAAATTCTTGCATTTATTCAACAGACGGGTATTGACCACCTGGTACGTGCTGGCACTGTTCGAGGTGCCAGGGATACAGAAGTGGCCGAACACATTTTGAGTACTTACAACATGCAGAGTTTTCTGGACCCTTAATGTGTTTCATCCTCATAGCCACCTACGTCAGTTTGTAAATTCAGAAACCGAGACTCAGAGAGGTGAAGAGACTTCTCCAGGTCTTCAGGTAAATAAACTGGGTCACAGATTTGATTCCCCAGTCCAAACTGGAGGCAGAGGACCCCAGAGGTGAGGACAAGTCATTCCTTTTATACAGAACCACAGCCCAAGCATTCAACATAGGGAGTATAAAGGATGTATTGGGTAATAAGGCCAGGATAAGTAGGTGGTGACAAAATGGCCTTTCTTGTCACACTGGGGAACCTGGACAATGAGGAGTCAGTGAATGTTATTGAGGGAGTATGACTTGTTATGCTATGTACTTTAGTCAGCATATTAGATGCTAGGGATAAAGTGTTAGAAAAGAGACAGGATCTCTGCACCTACTGAGTTTACAGCCTAACGTATGGAAGGATGAGAGAAAGGTATTTTCCCGTAAATCTCTTTGAAATACAAGGACGTACTGGTGAGAAACAAGGTTGAAGACATAAACAGGAAAATGATTTTTAAAAGAGAGAGAGCTTTGTAAGTCATCTTGAGTATAACGGTAATCCGTTGACAAATTTAAGCAGGGCAGTGACATAATGACACAATGTGGTTGTTGAGAAACAGGGAAGAGTCATAGATAACGCATAAGTTTCTGGCTTGGAGAACTGATTGAATAGTGGTGTTGATGTACTTCACTGAGATGCAGAACACAGGAGAAGGTTGAGGAGTCCAATTTAGATTGTTGAGCTTGACCTGCTTGTGGCACACCTGAATTTAGAGGCCCAGCAAATGGACAGATGTGACAGGGAGCCCAGGAGAGAGACGTGAACTAGAGATGTAGACTTGAGAGTCATCTTTGCATAAGTGGTAACTGAACCAGTGAGAGTGGACAGGATACTCCAGGAGATTCTCCTGTATGAGAGCAAAGCTATAGCAGGCTCTGGGGCAGAATCTTAAAGAATGAAAAAGTGCATTGAAGAGGAGGGCAGAGGAAGAGTAGTCCAAAAAGACCATGGCGAATGTAGAATTGAACCAGAGGCTTTCTCTTTGCAGCTTCCCTTTGTCATCTCGGGCAGTGGCTTGTTTCGTCCCCGGCGCCATGGCCACTCTGTCTCCTAGCGTAAGCCCTCTCTCCTCTGCCATTAAAGAGTTCATCTTGCAAACCTAATGGAGTAATGAAGCCATTGATTCTGTTAACACATGTCCAGTTCACTATGAGACCTGTAATGGGAATTCATTTTAGAGGTCAATACAGCTGTCAATGGATCAGTTTTTCCCCAGAGGCCTGTGGCTTTTTCTGTTGTACACAGGCAGAAGCTGTCCTGCCTAGCACCAGACTAGACTGGAGAGTAATTAACGCTGTAGAGCATCAATGAGCTGGTGACCCTGCCTCAGGCCTTGAGACGGTACACACTGAAATAGGTCAGAAAGCAGAGAGCAGAAACAGAATTGTGTCCCCTCTGAAATGATTCGAATAACCCTAGAACGCCACCATCACCACCACTAAAATATTTTCCCCTCCTAGCTATCACACAACCAGAAATTACATCTTTAAATCTTTATTTCTTTTGCACAAAAAGTTCCACTGTTGGAATTATGATGTGCTGAATGAATGTGTTTGCTCATTCTGCCAACACAGACTGAGAACTTTCTATGTACCTGGCCTTTATTATGTAAATGCTGAGATTGTAGAGATTACAACGTCAGTTACTGTTCTTAGAAACCACTGACTAGGCAAGGAAGCAGAGTGATAGTGGATGTGATGAAGCATGGGCCAGGCACCCTGAGGAATGACTGAGTCCAGACAGGTTTCAGAGAGAATATGATGTCCCTGTAGGGTCTTAAAATCTGCATATGAGTGCCAGAAGAGTAGAAGTGAAATCCAGGTGGAAGGAACAGCATAAGCCGAACCAGAGAATCACAAACGGGGCTGATGTATTCAGAGACTGATGAAGCTTCCATATGCCTTGGGTATGGGAGGGGAAAAGCAGGAAGTAGGTCAGACTCTGAAAGGCCTTGTGTGTTATGCTAAGAATTTGAACCAAGCTTAGAGAGCCAGCCAAATGAATAATGCCCTTGGCTTAGGGTGTAGCACTCTAAGCTATTATCTGTCTTTAATACCTCGCTTCCTTTCTAACATAACAGACAAGAACTTGAGATAAGAGTTAAGAAGAAAAAGACCAATAGAGAGTGGTGGGTATAAGAGCTGTGAAATGAGGAACATTGCTGTCCACAGAGGACTTGGAAGAGCAGGCAAGAGGAGCTGGGACCAGTCTAAGGACCAGCCCCAGATGAATTTATGCTTTTATCATTAATACAGTAAGGCACAGTCCAGGTCCTCAACTAACAAGTCTTCAGAAAGCAAAGCTTCTTTTAACAAAGCCAGCCTTAGCTTTGAGGAAGGTGATGACAGGAGCCACCAAAGAGAAGGAAGGCAGTGGTACTCACTGCTCCGGAGGCTGGCCTTGCTTGAGGGCCAAAGTCATACTCCTGGAGCACAGGCAGCCGTATCTCCTAGCAGTGGGGCAGGTCGTGATAAGAAGTGGCATCCAGGTGACTCCAGCAGCAATAATACCGAGGTACAGAGCATCCCCTTTTCACCAAGATGGCCTGGAGGCCACAGCCCTCCTCTCTGGGAAGGGAGAGAGGGAGCAGGTATGTGAGAGGGAGAGAATGCTGCTGCTGGATTATTGCCTCTGTTCTTGATATTTCTTCTTCCTCTGACAACCCACTTTGGGATAAGGACACCTTCCTTTCCTTCTTCATTCACAGAGCCCTTTCTCCTATTCACAGACTCCCTGAGAAACATTTCCTCAGCCAGTCATGGCCCCCGCTCCTCTCCAGCCGAGCTTAGCAGCTCCAATCAGCACCTACTCCGAGAACGGAAATCCTCAGCCCCGTCGCACTCCAGCCAGCCGACCTTGTTCACGTTCGAACCTCCGCTGTCAAACCACATGCAGCCCACCTTGTCCACCAGTGCGCCTCAGGAGTATCTCTACCTGCACCAGTGCATAAGCCGGAGAGCAGAAAATGCCAGGTAAGAGACTGCTGTGTGTGACCAACCCACGGGGCCTAGTACTTTTCAGTCTGTTTTTCCATTTTAAAGGAGGTAAAATCAAGGTGAGTGAATCTATATCTGTAAAACAAAACATCATTTTTTTGACTTAGGTAATCTTCACATTTTGTTGGTATCGTTTATGTTGCTATACAGCGATAATTGAATTCCAGAGAAGCCTCCCATTATGAAAAGTCACGCTGTAAAATTTTTTTGTTTAACCTGGGAGAACAAGCATTGGAGGTTACAGTTTCAGAACTGAAAAAAACAAAATCAGTTTAATCATTGGCCTTAAAAAAGAGCTATAAAACCGTACCATTATTAAACAAATCCACATCTCACTTTTGCTCTAGAGCTCCACCATTCCAAAGGGTAGCCACTATCCACATGTGGCTATTTAAATTTGAATTAATCAAAATTTAATAAAATTTAAAATTAAGTTCTTCAGTTGAATTAGCCACATTTCAAGTGCTCAGTAGCCACACATAGCTAGTGGCTACCATACCAGGTAATACAGATATGAAACATTTCATCATCACTAAAAGTTCTAGAGCAAAGACCCCTGCTCTAGAATAATGGTCTTTATTTTTCTAACCAGCTCTCTCACAGGTACAGAGCCTATGCATATTTTTATTACCTTTTATTTACACTGTTAGGATAAACAAAAGCACAGAGCTGATGGGCTTTGCCAGAGATAGTTCCCACTTGCTACCACGGCTAGCAGATTACAAATCGTGTTCCTTAATTAATTAATTAATTTAAAAATATCTAAGTTGTGTTATGAAAATTAAGGCAATTGGAGGCTGTATTAATGTATCACTTCACAGAATATTTTCATGCATGATCTCACTTGAACTAGTCAAACACACTGAGAGACAGTATAGATCATTTATCTTCACTTTATCAGCTAATAAATGAAAGAGGTAGGACTAGAACCCAGGTCTTCTCATTTCTGGTCCTCTACTCTTTTCTCTATATGTGCTACACGGGTTCTGGTTTTCCGGGTCATTTGCCATCACCCAACAGAGGCTCCCAACCCTCATTATTATACCTCAGATACCTCAAACGCCCATTTGCCTGAAGCAGCCTGATTCATTTGTTTGTGGACTTTCACAAGTTTAGCCTCTGTCAACTTATACATGAAAAGCTGAGATCCAAAAAGGTAGAATGAATTAGCCAAGATCACTGAATTAGTGGCAGAACCATAAACAGCACCTGATTCTCCTGAAACACAAACCAGAGACAGGCAGTGTGTTATAATGAAAAACATATTTCAGGCTTTGGAGTCAGTCAGATATGGGTTAAAAGTCAGATTCTGCCACTTTCCTTGTGACCTTGGGCTACTTAGTTAACCTTCTTGACTTTCAATTTCCTTACATGCTGAATAGAAACAACTAATTCAAAGGCTTACTAATGAGCATAAGATGACAACATATACATGAAGTACCCAGGAGTAGATAGATGCTCAGTACATACTACCAGTTCTCCTGTTCCCCATCTCCTTCTACTACATGGATGATTCCCAGGGAGCAGAGAATGTGGAGGTCTTACAATTATAGTTCTAGTGAAAGACAACGTGCTTTTTATTAATGCTTCTCAGATTTTAATGTGCATATGAAATATTTGAGGATCTTGTTGAAATGCTGATTCTGACTGAATAGGCCTGAGGAGGATCCTGAGATCCTGCCTTTCTGCTGAATTGCAGATGATGCCAGTTTAGATGGTCTGCAGTTCACACTTTAAATAGAAGACCTTATGTAATATTAACAAATGTCACCACTTCCAGTCCCATGATACGGCTAAAGCAACAGAGAACAAATATATAAATGTCTCTGCTTGCATTAGCAGTTAGAGCCCACTCTCTGCTCCCCCACCTCCTCTGTAAAACCTCTCTTAATCTTCCTGGCTGGAATTCATTTCTTCTCTGAATTCCCATAGTGGTTTTTTATTCTCACTCTCAAGCACTTGGAACTTTCTGCCTCGTATTATGGATGTTTATATTAATATGTTACTGCTCTTTGAAGACCCAGGACACCTACTAGGTACATAATAAATATTTGAACAAATCCATGTTGTAGAGAGATAACATAATAGAAGAGATAGAACTTATCTACAGCTAGGAAGTACCTTTATTGTGGAGCCTGGACCAAACTGCTTTTCTGTGTCTTTGTTTTCACTTTTGTAGGTGTTGGACCAAGAGGTTGATGAGCAGGATCTCAGGGAGATTTTTGGAAAAAAATATGTTCAGACATTTTTTGTAGAATTCCAAAGGGGGATGGAGGGTGGGGAGGAGGCATCGTTCAGTCTAGAAAGGCTATATAGTTTCTGGTAGTAGTGGAGTATCTTGCATGATACTAAACATACTGTAAAAATTACAAATTCTGGACAAAACATTAAAAAACAAATGTTTGAAGGCAATCAAAAAGCAGGCAGAAACTGGAAAAGATCTGACTCTTAAAAGAAGGTACCCACATTGAATAGGTCCAAGTTACATGGCTTTTCCTATAAAGGAAGTTCCTATAAATGTATCATCCAAAATATTCAGTATGCAGTGAGAAATTACTAGACACATGAAGAAACTGTAAAAGCTGACCCATTGTTGAGAGGACTCAGTTCATAGAAACAAACAAAAATAAACCCAGATTTTTAAGCTAGCATACAAAGTCTTTAAATAATTGTGTTTATTGCTTTAATCTATGAGGTAAGGGTGGATAATGAGTGAAGAGATGATGAAATTTAGGAGAGAGAGAAAAACTCTGAAAAATAACTTAGGAGTTTCAGTTCTAAGTGTAGGACAGTCCCAAACAAGCACAAAAAGGCTTCGTGAAGTAAACTGAGATTTGTTTACCACACACAGAAGGAGAGTCAAAACTTGCAGTATGAATTTAACCAAGTTGATGGCCTGCAAAAACAAAAGTGTAGCATTCTCTAGAGGATTATAACAGAACCCAGAATCTAGACAACATAAGATCACAACATTCAGGATAATCCAAAATATCTCAGCATATAGAGAACCAGCAAAATATAACCAGTTCTCGAAAGAAAGCACAGATATCAATCCCAACATAACCCAGATGTTGAAATTATCAAACAGATTTAAAAGCCTGTATAATAACAATATTCCATGTGATAAAGGAAAACACACTTAAGATTAATGGAAAGGAAAATAATTCTATCAACCCAGAAGGCTATAGCCTGCAAAAGTATACTTCATGAATGAAAACAAAACTAAGACATTCTCAGAAAAAAGAAAAATAAGTGAATTTCCAAGAGTTGTGATTTAAAGAAATCAGGAAGTTCTTCAGGCTGAAGCAAGATAGTACCAGAAGGAAACTAGGTCTTCAGGAATAAAAAGCAGCAAAAATAGTAAATATCTGCATAATTACAAAAGACTGTTATTTTCTCGTAAGTTCTTTATAGTATGTGTGAGTGTTGAAAGCAAGTGTTAAACATTGTCTAGTGGGATTTTCACCTGGTTTTATTTCTCTTCAGCCTGAAGAACTTCCTTTACCAGTTCTTGCCATGTAAGTCCCCTCATGATGTATTTTCTCAATTTTTATTTATCTGGAAATATCTTTATTTTTCTTTTATCTTTTGAGAGATTTTTTTCTGGGTATAAAATTCTAGAATGATGGTTTTATTTTCTTTGGGCATTTTAAATGGTGCCATTTTATAGTATTCTGACCTTCATTGTTTCTGATGAGAGGTCAGCTGTTATTTTTATTCTCATTCTCCTGTAAGTAATGTTTTTTTGACCAAGTTGTCAATAAGATAATGAAAGTCTTTTCAACAAATGATGTTAGAACAGCTGGATATCCATATAAGAATAAAAAAAGAACTCTTACTTCATTATCATACTACTCGAAAGTTAACTCATATATCAGAGACCTAAATGCAAAGTCTAACACTATGAAACTTGTAGAAGAAAGCATCTCTGTGATCTTAGGGCAAGCAAAGATTTTTATATAAGCTATAAAAAAGCAGGAATTAGAAAAGAAAAAAATGTTAAAATAGTTTTTATCAAGATTGAAATATTGGCCTTCAAAAGAACCCCATTAAGAAAACAAAATGGCGAGTCACAGAAGGTGAGAAAATACTCAAAACACATATATCTGACAAAGGATTTATTCCTAGAATATATAAAGAACTATTACAACGCAACAGAAGATAAACAACTCAATTTTTTAATAAATTTATTGATTTAAATTAGTTTCAAGTATACAGTACATTGGTTAGACATCTATAAGGTTCATAAAATGATTCCTCCAATTGCTCCCTCCCTCCCCTGACCCTCCACTTAGCCATCATATTAATGCTAACTGCATTCCCTGTGCCGTGCTCCCCATCCTCATGCCCAGCTATCAACTACTAATTTGTACTTCTTTAATCCTTCACCCCATTCTCCCAGTGCCCCCACCCCACCCCTCATGCCCAACTATCAACTACTAATTTGTACTTATTTAACCCTTCACGCCATTCTCCCAACCCCCCCTCCCCTCTGTCCATCACCAAATTGTCCACCATATTTGTGAGTCTCTTTTTGTTTAGTTTGTTCTTTTTGTTCCTTAGATACCACATATAAGTGAAATCATGTGGTAGTTATCTTTCTCTGTCTGACTTATTTCACTCAGCATTATAACCTCTAGATCCATCCATGTCATTGCAAATGGTAGGATTTCATATTTTTTTCCCCCTCTTTAATTTCCCCCCACCACTTCCACCCCTGACCTATGGATATTGCCGTTTCCCCTTAAGAACTGTATCTCTGAAGGCAGGACGTCTCTTCCCACATACTCGCAGAGTGCATTCGGGGCCTGGTGCCCCCGGGGACTGGCACACCCGGGGGGCCTGGCACACCCAGGGCCTGGTGCACTCGGGGCATGGTCTGTGACTCCACCTGGGGCACAAACCCAGGACCTTCTGCGTGTAAAGCAGATGTGTAACCACTACACTATGGAACCACCCCCAGGATTTCATTTTTT